GGGAACACCACCAGCAAACAGTAAGTACAGTACTCTATTTTCTCATGGAATCATAGCACGAAATTTTAATAACTTTATTGAGCGTGGTAGGTCAGGATAAAATGGCTCCAGATGGCATTTTAGTCGCTTCCCATGTGGCTGAGGATCAAGCAATGCAGAGTACCTAAGCACACCAGTCTGCCCTTGTCGCCACTTTATGAGGTGCACATCTCGAGTTAGATTTTGCATGAAACAATGTATTCTCCGTTCACTCTCATGAAAGCGTGCTGCAAGCGAATTGTTTTCGTGCCTCCTTCAATCTCGTTGATAGCAATAGTTGTTATGGGGAATTCGGGACTGTAAAATTTACTTTTTATTAGCTAATACATATAGCGTTGGAGGGGATTATTTGAAAGCTGCTCCCGAGTTTTCGTTGCAATTGCAAACAAAGATGGTCCACTGGAAGCCTGCGAAGGCATTAATTAATTAGGTACGGGGGACAATATTGCGTGAAATTCAGGCTTGATGGAAAACTACTTACCAATGCCTGGTGGGCTGAGGCTCTGGCTAATCGTGCACGAAATAGTCGCTCACAATAGCTCACTTTAGTCACCGAAATTGAAAAGTGCAGGTTTTTGATGTGGCACATCACAATTGGACAGACTGAAACGTTTGTTGGTAGAGCTGAGTGCCTTGTATTAATACATATGTGGTAGTAAAGTTACAGATGTATTAGCGAAGTCATTTAAGTCAAGAAATTGTGGAATACTTATTTAGTTATGGCAATATTTTTCGAGGTGACGCCAATATGAGTTAGCTTCTTCACTTGACTTGATAAAAAGAACAACTTTGCAAGATTCAATGCATTTTTATGACCACAAAATTTGTGGAGATATTTGGCAAACAGCAATTTATAACACTTTGAAATTGTATTTTTGATAACCGCAATTAAAACGCCTTCACAACGATCCTGTCTGCAAGAAGTGGTTCCATTTTCTCTGAGTTGCTTCAAATAACTGAGATCTGCGCCTTTGGTTTGAATTAAAATGATGAATAAGCGAACGAATGTCATTTGCGCCTTTCGCTGAATCCATGGAACAGTACTAAGGATGGTTGTCTTGCACATTTCTCCATCCATCACTTTTTTGTGGTATTCGTATGTAACTGGCTAATATCCATTTCACCACTGGTTATGATGAAATAGAATTTAAACGAAAGTACGGCCTTCGCGGTCTTCTTCATTTTTGCCACTTTTTAAGGTCCTGTGTTGGTAAATGTCCTTCCTGCGCCTACCTCATCTTCCAAGCACCTCCACGCACGATGCCAAACATCAACATGCACCGCAGCGTATGCATGAGATTGGACGATGTGCCTGTCAACTGCTCGCTCCAGTGATGGTCAGGCAATGAGTCAACTCAAAGTTACTTCATAGCTCACAGTTTCGTGAGTTTTCAGCGAACTCTTATGATACGATGCTGGCGTCAGTGCAAGCTATCTCACTCCCACCAAAGGTACCATGCATATCAGGTCGTCGCATGAATGCTGTGAGTCGGAGAATGCAAAGCATCATTAACTGCAAGGCTACGTCGGTGATATTTGTTTAACGGAATGATAGAACTTTGGAGTACCCACAGAAAAGTGTAAAAGCACTTCTGCGATTAGTCAACGCAAAACAAACACTCGCATAATTTTCTTGAAAGTCTTCTCAACAGTCACTTACTACTCCTCTTAAATGTCTGCTGTCATCGTTTTACACAACAAATGCTCTGGTACAATCCACGTGGCAAGTTCGCACAAAATTGACATGTAAAGTAGAAGGTCACGACACTGAATGTGGTAAGCAACACAAATCGACAGTCTGTGCGGAAAATTTTGAATAACCGCAGATTCCCTGTACTATCTTTTACAAATCTCAATGTTTTCTGAGGGTTAGTTCACTGTCTGGTCATTGGGATGTATTTTATGGTACATTTTAAGACAAATGTCAGCATTTATCTGCACACCAATCTGGTACAGCATGTCATCCACAATTTTTACTGAATCCTTCAAGTCCCATTCATTTGATTTCCCCACTACTTTTGTAGGACCTGCCTGCCTACCCTCAGGCCCCTAA